ATCCTGGGCTCAATTGTGGTTGTAAGTCAAGGATTACCTGTATACGAACATTTTTTCACTTTCTTTTTTCCTTTTCTTCCTTGTTCTGTTGTCTCATTCTGTCCCCATTTATCCAAAACGTAATTGATATATACATTTGCTGTGATTTGTATTCTCTACCAATGAAACTGCAGTAAAGATTCAGTAAAGATACTTTGATCTTCTCACTTTCCTTAGTAGCAGCAACAGTAGCATTTAATAGAGGCAGCAATGCCTCAGTCCAGGGCATTTGCAACTAAAAGTGACTCCAAATTCAGCTGTGTTTGGAGTTGTTTGGATTCAAAATATAAGTGGCTTGTAGAGTATATTTTTTGCATATAAACAGATGCAGAATCAGTTTCTCAGATAGCAGAATCTTCCATAGAATTATAGAATACTTTTGAGTTGGAACAGCCTTTCAGATTAAGGTCGTGCCATCCGCTGTGTAAGGGATCTATTAAACCAGGGGTGTCAAACTGAAGGCCTGTGGGCTGAATCTGGCCCACGGGTTGCTTAGATCTGGCCTGTGGGTTGCCGTTGAAACAGCAAAAGACTGGCCCGTGGTGCCCCTACCACTGAATGAAACTTGGGAGGACCACTCTTGGCTGCCCTGAGCTCCGTTTTTGTTGGCAGAAGGCTAGCAAAACAAACTAAAAGCAAAACAAAACAAAAGGAGAAATGTTTCCCCTTTTGCACTTGAGCATCCAAGAAAGGACAGGAGAGGGAAAGAGGAAAAGACAGAGACAAAGAGGGGAATAGAGCAAGGAAAGAAAGAGGGGAAGGAAGAAGAAGTGAGAATGAAGAGGGGAGGAAGGGTCTGAGGAAAATCCTGCCTTAGCACTTGGCCACACAGGCCTCCCTGACACAAGTGATGTCAAACTGGCCACACCCACCCCAGGCCCCTGAGGTCAAACACAACCCTGATGCGTCCCTCAATGAAATCCACTTTGACACCCCTGTACTAAACCATCTGTGACAGGTGGCCATTCAGCTCCATTTTGAAAATGTCCAGAGAGGGGGAAATCCACTTTTCTTATACACTAGTGTTTCTGAATCTTAATAACTTTAGCAACAGCACTTAGACTTATATACCGCTTCATAGTGCTTTTACAGCTCTCTCTAAGCGGTTTACAGAGTCAGCCTATTGCCCCCAACAATCTGTGTCCTCATTTTACCCAACTTGGAAGGATGGAAGGCTGAGTCAACCTTGAGCCTGTGAGATTCGATCTTTCAAATTGCAGGCAGCCGGCAGTAGTAGCAAAAGTAGCCTGCAGTACTGCATTCTAACCACTGCATCATTTTGTTCAGTTGAGGCAATTTTGAAATTGCTGCTAAAAATGGCCGCTTGATGCCCGCGATCGCTCTGACTAGATTGTACTGCTGGATTGTATTGTCAAATCTTTCTGCCTAGTTGTCTTCTGATCCCATCCTCGTCGCCAATATTAGATTGCGTGAATGGATGAGACAGACTCAGGCTTCAGTGACAAACAACAGCTCTTTTATTTGACAACTATTTACACATCCAGCGCCGGCCTGTTTGACAGCTAGCCCTTTTATAGGGAGCTGTCAAACAGCTCGGCCAATCGGCTTGGAGTGTTTTCCCACCGAATCGAACGACCTTGGTGGAGCCTACTATTTGGCTGTCAGTATGTAACACCGGGTCCTCATTTTACCAACCTCAGAAGGATGGAAGGCTGAGTCAACCTTGAGCCTGGTGAGATTCGATCTGCAAAACTGCTGACAGCCAGTGATCAGCAGAAGTAGCCTGCAGTACTGCACTCTAACCACTGCACCACCGCAGCTTTAAGATATACAGTCATCAACTCCCAGAATTCCTCAACCCTGCTGGCTGGGGAATTGTGGGAATTGAAGTCCATGTGTCTTAAAATTGTTGAAGTTCAGAAGCACTATTCTAGAGAGACTGTTCTCTGCTGTTTTATAGCTCATAGTCAGGAACTATCTCTCATTATTCAACCTGATTCTTAATTCTTTTGATTTTAACTCAACAGCCCTGTCCTGGGTTGTTTGCTTCCCTGGTTTCAACAAAGAATAAGTCTGCCCTTTAAACGCATGGCAGGTTTTAAAAAAATATTTGTAAACCTTTGCAAGCTAAATTATCTAGCTTTGACAATTTCTCACTTGGCTTGGATTCTATCATCCTGGTAACTGATTTTGTTCTGGATTTGGTTACTCTTTTTAAGTGCATTGCCCAAAACTAAACATATGATCCAATGAGCGCATTTGGATAGCCATTCCCAAATATAAACTTTGGATAACCATGATGTTCTGTTAGAAATAATAGGTCAATACATTCAAAAGTTCAAAAAGTGTGAACTGACAATCTCCAGAAAAAATTGTTCTGGCTACAAATCAGAATAACAGAGTTGGAAGGAACCTTGGAGGTCTTCTAGTCCAACCCCCTGCTTAGGCAAGAAACCCTACACCACTTCAGACAAATGGTTATCCAACATCTTCTTAAAAACTTCCAGTATTGGAGCATTCACAACTTCTGGAGGCAAGTTGTTCCTTTGCAATATATGCAATGACTTACTGATATAAAGGTCAAATATTGGGTGGAATCTAGAGGAAGAAGCTGGCCTAATTGGACCCATGGACTGCAGCATCCTTAGGGATACCAGGACTGNTCCTCCAGATGTGCATACACACCCTGTTTCCCTGAAAATAAGACCTCCCCGAATAATAAGCCCAATCGGGCTTTTGAGTCCATGCGCTAAAATAAGCCTTCCCCTGAAAATAAACCCTCCATGAAAATATTGCAACACAGCAGCAGCCATGAAGTGACCACGCTCACTGCCTCCTGCACCTCAAAAATAATTAAGACCTCCCCGAAAATAAGGCCAAGTGCTTATTTCGGAGGTCAAAAGAAAATAAGAACCTGTCTTATTTTTAGGGAAACACGGTAAGTCCTTTGCTGGCTGAGGATTATGAGTTGACATGCAACTCACCTAGATGACCCCAAGTTGAAAATACTTCTGTGTGTAGAGTATTTCTGGCATTTGCATGAGAGGGAAATTTTTTATCACCTTCCATGTGTTCATTTATCTCTGCTTCCCTCCATGGCATGTTAAACAGGAGTTAGCTGGTCCCATCTGTTGCATCTCCTTAACAGCTAAGCATGATGAGGAAATGGCCCTTTTCCAGTATCTCATTCTGCTTCTCAAGGGGGGGGGGAGAGCTTTGTGGGAGTTGTACTTTTATTTCTCTTTGCTTCACATTGCTTCAGGTGACACTTAGAAGACTTGTGTACAGCTTCCTTGCTTTGGTTCAAATCAGTGATTTTCGAAAATGGGAACTTTTAAAATGCGTGGACTTCAACTCCAGAATTCCCCAACCAGAACTGCTTTAAATTAAAGACTGCAAAGAGGAAACGCAATTATTTGAGCAATGTCAGAATGGCAGTTCAGTAAAAAGGGCTAAATTCCAAACCTGTTAGTGGACAGCTACTAATTTGCATTTTATAATTAGCATAAATTCATGCCAGGCAATTATTGCTTAGGGATTGTATAAGTGTGCAACATGGTACCCACCATGATCCTGAATCTTGTAAAAAAAAATTATGGAGAATAAAAGTAAAATGTCAGATTCTTCACAACAACAATTCAGCGCAGCAGAGAAAATAATGTCTAATTTTCATGAACTATTTTATTATTTTGCTACACATTTATCGTGTTTGTGGGTAATTTTTAATGGAGAGGAACATTCACATGATTTCATTGGTTGGTTACTCAGTTGGTATTCCTATTGCAAACTTTCACAAAACGCTTAAATGAGCAGATTATTTTGATGCTACAAGCATTACAATGTGCTTGGAATCTGGACAGTTCAGCCTTATCACAAATACTCTGCCTGCTGTTTCTTCCCACTGCTATAAAAGGCTAAAAAAGCAGGAATGATTTTGAAAGCACAGTATCCTAATTATAGATCTTGGTATCCTACTTCTTTTACAATCAGGGTCACAAAGTGGGGTTTGTTCTTTCTTTTTTGGGAATCTTAGCCTGTTTGGAAACAGCAAACAAGGATCAGTTTGGGTAACCTGCTAATAACCAAATAAAAACATTGTTTGGCTAGATAGATTAATGGAAGGAAGGAGGGTGGGAGCACACAGGCCCTGTACATAAGCCCGCTGCTCCTTCACAATTAAACATGATTCTCTAGAATACCATTGGTGTTGTGCCTGCATGATACCCTGTCCAGTATAAAATTTGTATAAATTATTTGATAGACCATTGTTTTGAAGAGCACGACATGAGTATTTTTAGAAGCCATGTATCAAGACTACCTCCGATCAATCCCTAGGAAAGAAAACCCTTGACTCAGTGGTGAAATCTAAATGTTTCTCCCACCGGTTCTGTGGGTGTGGCTTGGGGGGTGTCATGTGACTCAGTGGGTGTGGCCAACTTTTCACTTTTTAAAGCATTTTTTCCCTGCCACTTCAGGCGAACCCGTAGGGGAAAAATGCTTTAAAAGGGGGGGGGGAGGGAGTCACGTGATTGTAAGAAGCTCTTTTTTTTTAAAGCAATTTTTCCCTGTTGGTTTTGCCGAACTGGGCCGATTTCACCCCTGCCTTGACTCCATAGATTCAGAAGGAAGCAATTTTTTTTACCAGGAATGAACACTGCTCTGTGTCATGCTGGCCACTTAACTGCAGAAATGTCTTCTGACAGTGTTGGCTCAATGGCCTAGAAAGGCAGATGAGCATTGCCCCCTAAAGTTGGCTATGACTAGCGGAGTAAAACCTACAGGAATTCTCTTACTTTTACCTACTTTTATATAGTTTTAACCTCAACTTTTCACTACAGTTTGTATAGTTTTATTTCTTGTTAATTGTTGGTGTAGTTATTTATAATTTTTAAAATAATTTTTGCCGTTGGCCCAAGCAGCTGGTCATGGAGCAGATTATTGTAATGGTTGCTCTGCTACTGTTAAGATGTAATTGTCGTGTTTGTCTGTTCCACATATAGATGTTCCTGCCTGGCTCAAAAGCCTGCGTCTCCACAAGTATGCTGCCCTTTTTTCCCAGATGACCTACGATGAAATGATGTCCTTGACTGAATGTCATCTTGAGGCTCAAGTATGTTAGATTATCTAGTTTTGTTTTTTTTAAAAACAGCTTCTGTGTTGCTTTGGCCATTTGACGCCTAATTGTCTACTGACCATCCAATTGAAGAGCAGATTAAACACTGGTTTTTTATTAGCACTAATTCTGCCTAAATAGTTTTATAAATAAATACCAGATTTGAAAGGGGAAAGAGATGTTCTTAGTCTGTATCATTATCCTCACTGACGACAGGTATTTGTTTTGTCCTCGCACTTACGACTGACAGCCAGCAACAGCCAAGGCGAGCCTGATTGGCTAAGGCACGGCTGGCTAAGCGCGGGCTGTCAGATGCGCGCCTATTGGTCGCCCTGCTTGACAGTTCCATATAAATAGCTGTCAAGCAGGGCAAAGTGCTGAATCGCTACCTACTGTTCTGTGTTAACTCTCTGTTTGTAATAAACTGTTTAGATTACCTCAGGCGCCTCCTGCCTCGTTATTCCTCGGTCTACTTCAGTATTGCTTTAAGTGACGTGTTTCCTCCTATGGCCATGATGGCGAATCTATGGCACAGGTGGCACACGGAGCCATTTCTGAGGGCATGTGAGGTCTTACTCTGTCAGCTCCAGCGCGCATGCGCACATTGGCAAGCTGATTTTCGGGCATTTTTCACCCTCCTGAGGCTTCAGGGAAGACTCCTGAAGCCTGGGGACGGTGAAAAACAGCCCAACAAGCAACCCATAAGTCCGTTCCCAAACTTCCGGTTTGCGTGTTGGGCCATTTTTCACCCTCCCCAGGCTTCAGGAGTCTTCCCTGAAGCCTCGGTAGGGCGAAAAACGGCCCAGCGCGCCTCCCAGAAGTCCAGATTCTTCGGCAAGGCCTGCATGCATGCACTGGGGGAAGTATTGTGTGCACATGCACGGGGGGGCATTGCATGTGCGTGACTCTCCCCACATTCCCCCCCCCCCCGCGCTTTTGGTACGCCTCGACAAAAAGGTTAGCCATCACTGTCCTATGGCTAGAAGCGAATGCCAGCCTTACAAAAGCTTTTATAGAAGGCTTTATTTGGGTTAGAGCAAACTGTCTTTTCTTTTGACCAGAGGGAATGTTCTCTGAATAAAGGTCAACTCGGAAAGCTCTTGGAATTAAAGATTAGATGATACCTGGTCCTTTTTCATCTGACAAAATCACAAAATCACTTCTTCTGTTTTTCCTTCCCAATCGGCACTCATTCCAGATCGTATTTTTTTTTTGGTGGTGGTGGTGGGGTGATTAGGGAAATCCTTTGATCCCTACCACCAGCAAGCTTTCTTCGCTAGAACAGAAATCTTTTCTGAATGAAAAGCGTCCATCTCTCTTTAAAGAATTAAAGAATTAAGATTTGAAGCAATTATATCTAGATCAGACACATTTTGACCTGATCTTAAAGATTGAGCAATTTTTTCAGGTCTTAGGGGCTATAATACTATCTACTGTACCAGAGCATCCTGCCTCAGAGGTCTGAAATCTGGTTTGTAATTATAATATGCAAATTATAACAAATTTGCAATGATTGCAACCTAAACCCTACCCCAATAATGGCTAACCCTTTTCTAAAGGTGTGCCAAAACCTGCGTACACATGCATGCCCACCCACCGTGCATGCACGAGCAACCTGCACAGGGGGGGGATTTTCGCCCTCCGGAGGCTTTACTGAAGCCTGGGCAGGGCGAAAATGGCCTTCCCTGGCCCTTTGGAAGGCCAAAAATCAGCTGGCCAGCACATGCATGCTTGCCAGTGCTGAAGGCTGCCATGCCGGCAAATATGGCTCCGTGTGCCATAGGTTCACCATCATGGCCCTAACCTATCAACAGTGAAATCATTTGCTCAAATGATTCTCATAAAAATATTGGAATCTAGCAAAATATTGGAATCTTAAGATTTAGTAATTTTACCAGCTTTCATACATCTAAACATTTAAGCATCTATCAATGTTATAATGCTGGCTCTGTATTAATCTAAATAGCTAATTGGCTAAGACCTATTGGAACCTCATCATATAAATTGCTTTAGTCTGGAGTGATTAACTGTGTTTCCCCTCCCCCCCCCATCTGCGACATGCTGTATATGTGTACTAATATTGTATTCCATGTCTCTGTTGCAGAATGTTACCAAAGGTGCAAGGCATAAGATTGTGATCAGTATCCAAAAGCTAAAAGAGAGGCAGAATCTCCTCAAATCCTTGGAAAGAGTGAGTGCCCTCCATTTTTTCTCTTTTGAAAACAGATGAGAATTTGGCTATTACTTCAGCTAAATGTATGGATAATGCTCTAAACCTCTTTGCCCATGTGTATACCTCTGTACAGGTGAATTGCTATATATAACGTAGTCACTTCCTTTCGCACAACCGGGTTTGATTTTTGGTTTTGGAGTTGTAATCTGCCTACCTACCTTCCTTCTTTGTTCGTTGATTCATTCCTTGATCCAGGGGTGGGTTTCAACTGGTTCGCGGCGGTCCCTGCGAACCGGTTGGTTGCCGAACCCGGAAGTAACTAACTTCCGGGAACGGCGAAGGGCCTGCTCGTGCCCGCGTGCCCGCGCCCGCTCCTTACCTGGTTTTGACAAATTCTGCGCTGCCACGCATGCGCAGGACGCATACAGTGCCTGCGCGATCCTCCAGGAGCAGCTGGAGCATCGCACAGATGCTAGTACGCATGTGTGCGCCACGTGCGTGAGGACGCCACATGCGTGCGCGAGGACGCCGCCGGCCTCGTTCCAACCGAACCGGTTGGAACGGGGCGAGAAACCCACCCCTGNTCCAGAAAAAATTGTTCTGGCTACAAATCAGAATAACAGAGTTGGAAGGAACCTTGGAGGTCTTCTAGTCCAACCCCCTGCTTAGGCAAGAAACCCTACACCACTTCAGACAAATGGTTATCCAACATCTTCTTAAAAACTTCCAGTATTGGAGCATTCACAACTTCTGGAGGCAAGTTGTTCCTTTGCAATATATGCAATGACTTACTGATATAAAGGTCAAATATTGGGTGGAATCTAGAGGAAGAAGCTGGCCTAATTGGACCCATGGACTGCAGCATCCTTAGGGATACCAGGACTGTAGCAGAGACATACTTAAGAGCAAAGTCTTTGACAATCAGACTTTAATACCTACTGTTAACAAATATTGGCCTTTTAGCACCTTGAAGCAACTGTGTCATCAATTATAGCTTCTTTCATTCCTGGTCAGTTTGCTCAATTGCTTTGCTGTCTGGGAGTGTTCTAACTTGTAGCTGTTTAGTCTAGTGATTAAGGTACCAAGCTAGAAACCAGGAATCACTGAGTTCTAATCTCACTTTAGGCATGAAAGCCTAATGACCATGAACCACTTTCTCTCATCCCAGGTCACCTCACTGGGTTGTTGTGGAAAAATAAGCTAAGGAAGGAGAATTAGATATAGCAATAGCACTTAGTCTTACATACAACTTCATAGTGCTCTCTTTAAGCAGTTTACACAGTCAGCACATTGCCCCAACAGTCTGGGTCCTCATTTTACCGAGCACGGAACGATGGAAGGCTGAGTCAACCTTGAGCCGATCGGGATTGAACTCTCAGCAGTGGGCAACGTTAGCCTGCAATACTGCATTCTAACCACTGCACCACCACAACTCTTCAGTCACTATAGTTACCACAGTGCCACAGTTCCCCACCTTCAGTTATTTATAAAAATAATAGAGGATATAAATAAATAAAGTAAATAAATAAATAACTCATCTCAAGGGTACAGTATTATGGCAGGCTAATCTAGATATCAAGGTTTGCTCTCTATGAATCCAATATGATTCAGTATGCATATTTTTATTTTTTTATTTTATTATACTATTTTATTGTGATAATAAAAGTAATATAATGAATAACAATAAGACATTATAAAAATGTATTTGATTGTATTGCGCTCATACCCGCCCCCTGGTGGCAGCGGTTAGGTTAAATATTTCCATGCCTGTCCTAAAGTCCTTCACATGGCTTTACAATACTGGAGCTGGGGAAGCAACAGCTTCCTTTTTATAAATAAATCTACATGGAATAATTCCAAGTTGACATCACAGTAACAGAAAGCAAAGGATGGAACAAAACCGAAAAAGGCATGAATGGAATCCAGCCTGTATCGGTGTACATTTTTTTTAATTGAAAGCTGTTTCCCATTGATGGCAATTCTTTTCAACTCACCTCAGTGAGGGCAGTTTGAGTTCATTCTTCAAGAGATTTAAAACAATTGCAAAATTCTCATTAAATTTAGAGTTATATGGTGGTGGTGGTGGTGACGGTTGATGATGATGTTGTTATTTTACAGTTTGTACCCAGCTCCTTGTCTCCAGACCTGATGAGGAGAATATAAGCTCCTATTTACAGCTCATAGACAAATGCCTAATTCATGAGGTGAGTAATTTTAGGGAGCTGAGGGAAGGGAGGGAGGTTGGCAAACTCTTGTTCTCTTCCCATTTCTTGAAGATATTTGCTGGATTTCCTAGATATGCAAATATGACCATTTAAGCACTAATATTGACATGGTTTAGGAATTAGTATCTCAGCTCTAGGTAAAGATCAGTTCCTGCCCAGCTGGGTAATTTTGGAAAGATTCTAATACAAATCAATCAAAACCCATTGCTAGTTATTGTAAATACAGTATTAAATGAGGCACTCATAAACGAGTAAATGATTTCTTAGGACCCTTTTTGATTCTTTGCTTCTCTGTTAACAAAATGATGCTAGAAACAGACTGATGAAAGAAACACTTCTGAGAATAATTGCTATTAATTTGCTATTACAATTAGCAAACATTTTCCTTACATGGTTCTAAATACTTCTGAGTTTTTTCCCCCTTGGTTGATAATGATCTTGCATAGGTCTAATATTGTTGCCCTGTTCTTTGTCTGTGGTCACATTTGGGCTGCAATTGTGTGCTGCAATTTTTCTTGTCCAATTTTGGCATTCCTGAACTACACATAGCTTAGTGTAACTGTCTTCTGGCTTCCAGAAAACCCCAAAGCTTTGTCCAGACTTTTGATGTTTTATATTTATCAAGTAACGGTTAGCATTTTAGCCAGCTTTTCTATGGCATCTGGCATTGAAGAGAGATTCCATAACATCTGGAGTACTATAAACCAAATGACCAGTTGACTGGTCAACCTTAGCCACCTATCATCATCTCACCTCATTTCACTTTTTTAAAGAGCAAATGGATCATATTAGATTTTTTGCTGCCATCCTTGCCCAGGCTTACGATTTAAATATAGTTGAAGCTGACCATTAAGGGGACTCATTAGTTTCAGTCCAATCTCTCATGAAGTGCTACTTTCATACTCCCCACTAATGTTTGCCAATCTGGTGCAGTCTGACCAAACCTGTCTTTTTATGATGGTGTAATAATATTTATTCCACCTGGCCCTAGGAAAGCAAACAAAGCTACGGTCGGTTTAACCACAATTTCTTAATTAAACCTAATAAAGATTCAGAAGTAAATAAGTTCAACAAAGATAATCAAAAGAATTAGATTCTAAGTGTTATGAAGATAGATTGAAGGGGCTGGAGATGTTTAGCCTCCAGAAGGACGATTGGCTGAGAGAGATGATAGCACTCTTCAAGTAACTGAAATTACAGAACAAGTAGTAGAAGAAGGCAAAGGTTTGCTATCTGTTGTTCCAAAATGGAAGAGATGGAATAATGGTAAGTTACAAGAAGACAGATTCCAGTTGATTATTAGGAACAAGATTTTTTAAATAATAGGAACAATTCAATCTGAAATGGACTGAACATCCAAACAAGATGTGCTTCTTGTGGTTGAAGAGTGTGTGTATGTGTATGTGTATATGTATGTGTGTGTGTGTGTGTGTGTGTGTGTGTGTGTGTGTGTGTATAATATTTGACACAGACATAAAGGAGAACAGTTTAGTGGTTCCTGCCAATCCAATTATTTCCTGATTTCTAACCCAGTCTTCAAAGAACATGGATATGGGCAATACATGGAATGTACAGAAATTAAAATGTTTATATCATTAATACATATAAAGTAGGTGGAAGAGATCACTTAGAATATCAGCGGATCATGAATTGCTCATATGTAAGTTCAAGCTAAAGCAGAAAGTCAGTTTCCGGGATATATCTTGAGCTTATAACCACAGTTTTCAAGGAGAATATTGGATATTGCTTTGAAGTTTTGTACCATTTATAGGGAATCAGAGAAACTGTGGTATAAAATCAAAGACATTCTTAAAGATAAATGTGAACAGAAAATGCCAAAGACCAAAAAAACAGACGAAAGCAAGCTGGATGTCAGAACAAACAGTGGAAATTGCCAAGAAGAGAGGCCAGAGCCAAGAAAGAAAAAATTGTAAGAAGGAACATTGAAAACTATTTCAGAGAGCTATTAAAAAGACAAGAAACAGTGTTACAGGCAAATCTGGAAAGGCATCAAAGATGAAAACAGACACAGTCAAATAAGATCCAAAAGATCTCCAAATTTAGAAAGAGGTTCCAACTTTGCATTGATTTGCTAAAAGACCCCAATGGACAAATAGTAACCGATTTCAAGAATTTCAAACAAAGTTTTGAAGGAGTATGCTGAAATTCTGTACAAGAGAGTTATCAACATCCAAGATTCCTTAGAATGTCATTCCTATTTACAAAAATTTCTAGTACAGTAAGATGAAATTAAATCAGCACCCTGGTCATTACCAAGTCAGAAGGCTAAAGAAATTAATAAAATACTTATAGAGATATGGCAAGTAACAAAAGAAGAACAATCTGTAAAGATTCTAATCAAACCGTATTAGCAGATCTGAACAATAACGCAACAGCCAACAGATTGGAAAAGATACCCCAGGAGATTTAACAGTATGTGCAAACTATTCTATAAATGTCCTTAATTTCATATGCTAGCAAAATAATGAATAGAGATATGTAACATAGATTGGCATCCTTCATGAAAAGCAAGATTCCAGATGTTCAAACTGGTTTTAGAAAATACAAAACAACATGGAAAAATATGCACACTGGGTAAATAAGAAAACCAGAGAATATAATAGAAAATATAATAGAAAAGCCTTCGGTTGCATTGACTATGTCAAAGTTAGAAAAATGGGAATCCCAAAATTTCTAATTGTCCACTAACGTTAGTCTTTAAAAAAACAGGATAGAAAGAGTATTAATGTTTTTGAATGCTGGTATTAAAAGAGGCTTCTGAGAATACCATGGTTAGCTTAGAAACACAAGGAGTCATAGACAAATCCATCTCGATAATTTGCTTGAAGCAAAATGATCAGTGTCAAGTCATTATAATTTGAACCCATTTTGTGAACACTTGGCTTCCTTGAGAAATCTATAATAATGGGAAAGACGAATGGGAAAAGAAGATGACCAGCTGCAAGTGGATGGATTTGACCACAGTGACAATGGGTGTTGGAAAAATTTGGGACAAATCAATTTGTGTGGTTGTTAAGGGTGAACACTGATTTGATGGCCCATCCCATCATCTCTCTAGGAATCGATTCATCACTAACATCTTATTATTGATTGGTTAACAATAAGATGTTAGTGGTGAGCTATCTCCCAGAGAGATGGTGCTCAACACCAGTGTCGTGTCGAACTGGGACTAGACAGCTATCTGTTGGGAATACTTGAATCTGGATTCTTACACTGAGTAGGGGGCCAATCCTGGTCTAGGCTAGAGTGTGTCTTCCAACTTTGTCATCATGTTAAGCCAAATAGAGAGTAACATTATGGCTCATGTAAGACCAGTGTTTCTGAAATGTTGATGTCATGGGAACTCTGAAATATTTGCTGCTATCGAATCCACGTTAAAATGGTGGTTGGCAACTTGCATGTGGAAAGAGAAGTAATGGCTTTTGAAACTTGGAGAGAGGCTATATTGCAGCCCTTCCGTAGAATGACACGAGGATCGCAAGATTAGTCAAATTCACAGCATCAGCCTGCGGGGATTCACCTCAGTGGTCCTCAAATGCAGAAATGTCTGTGGCTCAATTTGTCTTTCTCCAAAGCATAATTAGTTGTACTGAAAAATACAGATTTCAGACTCTTGAGTATAAAACTTGAGAACAGTGGTTGCCTCTAACAAGGTACTGTGTTCCCCTCATTAGTGAAATGTTTTTACTAATAAGCCAGTCATCCTAATCATGATGATGATGAAGATCACTCATGACTTTTTCTTCTAATCATGATTCTATTTTGAATGTTTCCCCCCCTCCCCTTTTCCCTTCCCTCCACCTTCCCATAACTCTCTCTCTTGGGCAGGCATTTACCGAGACACAGAAGAAAAGACTGTTGTCATGGAAACAGCAGGTGCAAAAACTATTCAGGTCTTTCCCTCGCAAATCCATCTTAGACCTCTCGGGATACCGGCAGCAAAGAACGTAAGATTGGGGCTTCGTCCCGCAGACTCAACCCCTGGGAGTGCCAGTGCTATAGAGAGTTGGCTGTGTTAATGCTGTGGGGCTAGGCCTAGAGGGCCGGTGGGTGGGAGGCACACCCCTTGGATCTAGTGGGTGGAAAGCAAGGCTCACGGTTGCCCAGGAACAAGCCTAATTCAGCCTAGCAACTTTTACACTCCCAGTGTGCCTGGAAACCGTGGTGGGTTGAGCAATTTGTGATCAAGTGACAGGGTAGGAGTTGGAAGAAATCACACATACAAAATTATTAATTTCCAGATACTCAACAGGAACGTGGCTTTAGTGTGAATTAAATTATTTGCGGTGATTTATTTATTTCGGTCAGGTCAGCACAAAGCTCTAAAGCAGTTCTGTAATTCCGTGAAGCATTGTTTAATCACAGTATTTTAAAGTGAGCTTGCTGTGTTTTTAGTTTTAAGCAAGACAACGTGCAGAGAGGTCTTTGGCTTCAAGGCTCCCTCAAAAAGAGGGAGATTAGGGCCCTTTAATCAATTTAGTATACTTATCGTGAGTGAGGTGTCTGTTTGGGGTTTACAATACAGGAGGTGAATTGCATTGAATTGGATTTGTCTGATCTTGTTTTCTCAGCCGAGGTTTTGGCCAGTCAAACTCCTTACCGACAGCTGGATCTGCAGGTGCAGGAATGGGCAGAAGAAACCCACGCCAATTCCAAATTCCCTCTCGAAATCTCCCCACTACACGGCTGGGGCTTTTGGGTCCCAGTGGCCTCCTAGGTGCCAGCCAGCGCAATGGAGCTGCCAACCCCACCATCTTAAAGCAAGGAAGACAGGTGGGTGTCCATCAACTTGTGGGTGATTCCACAGGCACAGAGCCTGTGATAAAATGAGGTAGAAAAGGGTAGTGCAAGCTAGAAGGAACTACTTCAAAAGTGAGGTGGGTGGATTGTCCCTCAGTGAAAAACCTCCCTACAGATTTGTCCAATGTTGTCCAATGTTGTCATTGGCCCCCTTGGGGTTTTCTGTGACCGAACAGAAGCATTATCTAAATAAAGGTTAGGTGAAATTAACAGGCGCTGCTGCCAGAAGGTGAAGAGATAATCACTAATTTTGATGACTTTAGAAAGTATTTATATAGATATGTGCCAGAGAACTCTGCAAAAAGGCATCTAACTACCGTATTTTTCAGAGTATGATGCACCTTTTCCCCCCAAAAAAGGTGGAAATCTAGGTGCATCTTATACACTGAACACAGCATTTTTGGCCTACTGAAACCCTGCCCCCTTTGCAAAAATGGACATGCAGAGGGTTTGGTAGGCTTGCAAAGTGCTTCTGGGAAGGGTAAAAATGAGCAAAAAACCGGTTATTTTTGCTCGGTTTTGCCCCCACCCCCACCCCCTCAGGAGCACTCTGCAAGCCTCCCAAAGCCTCTGCATTCCCCCCCTTTTTTTTTGCAAAAACGAGGCGTGCAGAGGGCTTGGGAGGCCTGCAGAGTGCAAAAAAAATTTTTTTTAATTTATCTCTTCAAAATCTTGGTGCATCTTATACTCCAGTGCGTCTTATAGTCTGAATAGTATGGTAGGTTAACTAAACAAATTCCCCCTTTTATAAACATTCATATCAAGATGTAGTATAGGTAATCCTCAACTTACAACCATTCATTTAATGACTGTTTGAAATTACAGTGGCATAAAAAAGGTGCCTTATGCACTTAAGACTATTGGTCACATGATCAAAATCTGGGCTCTTGGCAACTGGAATGCTTTTACGGTGTTTGCAGCATCCCTGGATCATGTGATTGCCATTTTCCACCTTCTCAGCCCACAAAGTCAATGGAGAAAAAGTGTCTATGGAGATTCTCAATCACCAAGGTCATGGTTGTCCTAAAGATGCTTTTCAGAAAGGGAAGTGGACTTTCTTGGATTTTTCTTTCTTTGAAAGCATTTCACTTCTCATCCAAGAAGCTTCTTCAGTTCAATTCAGCCTCTTGGATGAGAAGGAAAATGTTTTCAAGGGAAAAAAAACAAGGAAGTCAAGATGCCTTTTGGAAGAGTACATCTGGGTCAATGGGAGAAGCTGGGTTCTCTTTACAATCATGTGATTTACTTACCACTGCATTGATTTGCTTAAGAATTGTGGGGAAATGTCATAGAATTGGGCATGCCTTACTTATCAATGGGAATTCTGGTTCCAATTGGAGTCATAAGCTGAGAACCACCTGTATATTTTGCAAATGTCAGTGTTGAAAGAAACATGCATCCATTTCATTGCCATGATGCTGTTTTCATTGGTTCACCGACAAAACCGCGAAGCCCTTATCCGCACTGACATAAGTGCGGAGGGCAAATCCGCGCCGTCCGAAGCGCTAAGGGAAAAGGCGAACCTACCACGATGACATAACCGCGGAGGGAAAATCCGCGCCTTCCAAGGCACTCAGCACCTTAACCCTAAACCTAAACCTAACCCTAACCTAACCCTAAGCCTAACCCAAACCTAACCCTAACCTAACCCTAACCCTAAACCTAACCCCAAACCAAACCCCTAAACCTAATCCTAACCCTTATCTTAATTTAAATCGGCTTTCTGTCGCCGCGCTGTTGTCGCTGCGGTGATGACGTCACGGTGATGACGTCACGGCTTTAGTGACACGGTTTTATAACCGCTATTTTGACGAGCGCGGTTTTGTCGGGCCATGGTTTTCATTGGAGTATCTGGCAGGCAGTTGTTGAAAACTGATAGTCTTTAATCTAAAACTGTCCTTCCAAAGATGGCACTCTTCAGAAAAAGTGATTTTTTTTTAACTGGCGGAATTCCTAGGGCCCTGATGGCAAACCTATGGCACGCAGAGCCCTCTGTGGGCACATGCACCGTCACCAACTGCTCTTCTAATTCCCAGCAGCGCACATGGACACTGGCCAGCTGGTCTTCGAGAGCACTGGAAAATGGCCTGAAAATGGCTCGGGGAAACAAAATCACTTTTTCTG